TCAACAGACTCACTACCTATCACAGATATGCTGAGTGGAGACAAACATCAGTCATGTTGATGCTAATAGATAAATTTAAGGAAGGAGCAGTATGAACTCTGCTTCCTTCAACTGAAAACCGTTTCCAAGTAAAAATGAACTTATCATCAACAGAGTACCGACAAATTAACCTCTTCACACCCCTAGACAAGCTTCATTATTCTAGGACTCCTATTACGGTACAATCACTGTACAATCCTGTTACAATAGTTTTTTAATGTACAAATTAGATTCCACTATAATAGTTTTTTAAAGGGTTATCTTTTAACAAACATTTCTAAAGTCATGGCACATAACTGATTTATTTCAAGTTATCACTGTTAATCCAAATTGGCACACAATCCAAATCATACAGTGGGCACGTACTGCAGGAAGTCGACTTTAAAAAGGAATAGGAGATTTGACTTTTTGATTTTTTACAGGAGCAAAATTACCCCTTATTTTGCCATAAACAATATCACTCAAATGATTCTAGTACAGTTCCTGGAACAGGTGCTCAATTAATGCCAGATAAATGCTTCACTTAACCTTCTAATTCTAGTAGGAAATCTAAGTCAAGAATCAATGGTAGGGCTTCCCTGGTGGCGCAGTAGTTAAGAATCTGCCTGCCAATGCAGGGGACACGGGTTCAAGCCCTGGTCTGGGAAGATTCCACATGCCGCAGAGCAACTAAGCCCGTGCGTCTCAACTACTGAGCCTGCGCTCTAGAGCCCGCAAGCCACAACTACTGAGCCCACGTGCCACAACTACTGAAGCCTGCGTGCCTAGAGCCTGTGCTCTGCAACAAGAGAAGCCATGACAATGAGAAGCCCACACACCACAACAAGTAGCCCCCCCGCTCGCCGCAACTAGAGAGCCCGCGCACAGCAACGAAGACCCAACGCAGCCAAAATTATTAAAGAAAAGAATCAACGGTAGCTAAAGTTATTTCACATCTAAGTTAAAAATGTACCATTTGCTATTTTATGCATTGCTGTGGACTGAATTTTTGATCCCCCGCCTTCCACAATTCATATGTAGAAGCTCTACTCCTAATATGATAATATTGGAGGTGGAGCCCTTTAGGAGGCAATCAGGTCATGAGGCCCTTATAAAAGAGGCACTGAGAAAGACGATCTCTCTCTGCCTCAAGTAGACACAGCAAGAAGTCAGTTGTCTACAAACCAGGAGGAGGGTGCTCATCAGACATCAAATCTGCCAGCACCTTGATCTTGGACTTCCCAGCCTCCAGAACCATGAAAATAAATGTTTGTTGTTTTTCCCACCCAGTCTATGGTATCTGGTATAATGTCCTGGACTAAGACACACACACACACACACGCGCACACACACACACACACATTCACACTTCCTTATGAAATTACAAATGTTAAAAAGTATCTACTGATTTTTCAAATGTATGTTTTAAAAGTGAAATTCACGTGGCACAAATATATCACTATACTAAGTGCAATAATGGTACTCTGTGATCATTAAAAAAACTGAAAAAATAAAACTTCCATCCCATTTCACTTATGACTCTTTTATATTATATAATTTTATATTAATATAATTTATATATATTAAAATTAGTATAATATAATTTTATATTAATAAACATCTATAATAAAATAAAGTAAGTAAATCCGTATAGGGAAGAAACAAGTTATCCAAAAGATGTAATACCAACTTACTTATTTGACCTCCTCCTATCTCTTCTAAATATTTATGCTCTATGATGAGTCCTTTACAGGCATCCTCTCAGGCCTTACAATTCCTTACAAGGTCCTCAGTTTGTCCATGTTTCTGTTCACACTTCAACCTTAGGACTTCTCTGCTGTTATATGTTAACTGGGACATCTTTAGGTGTCTAGAAACTGCAATTAAATGGCTTTATGGTTAAGTACTGTATTTACATGTCCTAAAGACCAGCACGGGAGGAGGGATTAGTTTAGTTGGCAGCCACTGAATATTAAGTATGTTCATATGTGCAAAACACAGTGACTGAAAAGCCTTAAGAGGTTTTCCAAAATTTAAACATTCCCTTTCACCCACTTATTCATATTATGAAAGACAAAATATTTTAAAGGATTGGACTTACCCTCAAATAAATCTTCCAGAACTTCCTATGGAGTCATTTCAGGTTCTAAGTACTGAAAGCGAGCCTTTGAATTAGTCCATCCAAAGCGTTTCCAAGATATATTTTTCAACGAGTAGAATAATACTTAATCTATGTAGAAGTCTACTTAACTTGAAAATAAATTCAGTATTCTAAGTTAAAGTACTAAACTACTGTAATGATTCTAAGTTATTGTCAGTCTATAACAGGTATTAATTTTGTGAGATTTCAACGCCTAAAAGCAAAAAATAAGCAATACTAAACTATGCTAATACTGATAACATTCACCCCAGCCATCTGAATATCCAGGTAAGGGAATAAGATAATACCTAGGTACTGGTTACCTGGTTACTATTTTCCATTGTTCTTTTTAAACAAACAAAAATAAAATCTTTTTATTACTCTATTACCCTAAATAGTTACCAAAAATAAAATCCAAATATTGTTATTTTTAGATAACTATGGGGAGGGAGGGGTATAGTAATGCTGTTCTTTCTCTTTTCCCTCCTTAAAGAACTCAAAGACAATATCAGAAGTTAGGTGCAGAATTATTTATCTGATTGATGTCAGAATTTAAATGTTGTAGGGGGACTTCCCAGGTGGCGCAGCGGTTAAGAATCCACCTGCCAATGCAGGGGACACAGGTTCAAGCCCTGGTCCGGGAAGATCCCACATGCCGCAGGGCAACTAAGCCCGTGCGCCACAACTACTGAGCCTGCACTCTAGAGCCCGCGAGCCACAACTACTGAAGCCTGCACGCCTAGAGCCTGTGCTCCGCAAGAAGAGAAGCCACCACAATGAGAAGCCCACGCACCACAACAAAGAGTAGCCCCTGCTCGCCACAACTAGAGAAAGCCCACACGCAGCAAC